TGAAGATCCTCGAAGTGCTTTCCTTGAACAGATGGGTTAGAAATGGGCCTTAAGTGCTAGCAGTGTCAAATACACCAAAAGGAGTTTGTGAAAGCAGGCAAAGCGGCACGAGAAAGGGTGAAAATGTCTGGGGATTGGGACTGTGGCAGAACAGTGTTCAGTAAGAAACAGCAGCCCAGAGAGGAGAGGTGAGGTCAGACAATGCGACAGTGAGATGAAATTTTACAAGAATGAGGCATTTTTCTTTTCTTTTCTTGTCGGTTGTGGGGCCGGCATTGTGGGCCTGGGTGCTGGCTCGGTAAGCAATAGGATTATGGCAGTTGAGGGGGTGCCCAGATGCTGCTCGTAGGCCAGCACAGTCAGGTGTACGCGGGGGCTTCCTCCTGAGGACAGAAGGTGCTCCATCCTCAAAGGCAGCAGACAAAAATGGTGGCAACCAGCCTCTAATATCAGACTCCTCTCCCAGGTCCTCCCTTTGGCCAACTTCTGCAGATTCTGTCCTTGCTTCCCACTTGACATTTCAGAACCCACAATTTGCATCAGGTACATAGATGCATGTCTGGATATTAGGTGTGAAAAAAATTTTTTGGGGGGGTCAGTTGTGGGGCCTGAACTCTGGGCCTGGGTGCTGTCCCTCAGCTCTTCAGCTCAAGGCTAGTGCTCTACCACTTGAACCACAGCACCACTTCTGGCCTCTTCTGCTTATGTGGTGCTGAGGAATCGAACCCAGGGCCTCATGTATGCAAGGCAAGCAAGCACTCTACCACTAAGCCACCTTCCCAGCCCTATTAGGTGTGAAATTTAAAGAGCAGAATAGGAGTGAGTAGACTCCTGCCGGTGGTCCAGAGAGCCTGCAGGGCTACAACAAAGATATGGACTTTTTTTTTTTTTCTTTTGGCAGTACTGGGTTTGAATACAGGGTCTTTTTCTTGCTTGGTAGGCACTGTTCTATTGGGGACATGCAGGTAGCCCAAATTTTGTGTGTGTGTGTGTGTTGGTACTAGGACTTGAATTCAGGGCCTGGGTGCTGTTTTAGACCCTATCACTTGAGCTACAGCTCCATTTTTGGCTTTTTTGGGGTTAAAGAGTCTAATGGACTTTGCTGCCTTGACTGACTTTAAACCTCAATCCTCAGATCTCCACCTCCTGAGTAGCTGGAATTACAGGCAAGAGCCATTGGTACCTGGCTTGGAACTGCTCCCCCCACCCCCCCTCCCCAGTCATGGGGCTTAAACTCAGGGCCTGGGTGCTGTCCCTAAGCTCTTTCTGCTCAAGGCTAGCACTCTACCACTTTGAGCCACAGGACTACTTCCAGTTTTCTGGTGGTTAATTGGAGATAAGAGTCTCATGGACTTTGCTGCCCAGGGTGGCTTTGAACTGTTATACTCACATCTCAGCCTCCTAAGTAGCTAGGATTATAGGCATGAGCCACCAGCACCCGGCTTGGTAGTGTTGAGATACCACCAAAATCCAATATGGGTCATACAGAAATTGCTGGACATACTAAGTCATTCAGTCATGTATTATACTCCTGGAATCTATTTCTTTGTTGTTGTTTTGTTTTTGGCCCTGGAGCTTGAACTCTGGGCCTGGATGCTGTTTCTCATCTCTTCAGCTCAAGAGTGCTCTACCATTTGAGCCACAGTGCCACTTCCAGTTTTTAATGGTTAATTGGAGCTAAGAAGCTCATGGACTTTCCTGCCTCGGCTGGCTTTGAACTATCTTCATATCTCGGCCTCCAGGATTACAGGCAGGAGGCACTGGCGCCCAGCTTTGAAACTTTTTCTTTCTTTCTTTCTTTCTCTCTTTCTTCAGCTCAAGGCTAGTGCTCTACCACTTGAGCCACAGCGTCACTTCTGGCTTTTTCTGCTTATGTGGTGCTGAGGAGTTGAACCCAGGGCCTCATGCATGCAAGGCAAGCACTCTACAACTGAGCCACCTTCCCAGCCTCTGAAACTATTTCTTAATAGTGCTGAGATTCCACCAAAGTCCAACAGAAATTGTTGGATGTACTAAGTCATTCAGTCATGAATTATAATGCTCATACATGGACAGGTAAGACAAGTGTGAAAATAAGTATGCAGATAGCCAGGTACTGGTGGCTTACGCCTGTAATCCTAGCTACTCAGGAGGCTGAGATCTGAGGATCATGGTTCAAAGTCAGCCTGGTCAGGAAAGTCTGTTAGACTCTTATCTCCAATAAACCACCAGAAAATCAAAAGTGGCACCGTGGCTCAAGGGACAGTGCCCACGTGCCCAGAGTTCAATCCCCACAGCTGACAAAAAATGAAGCATGCAGGTTATCACACACAAAATTCTGAATGACAGGAAAGTAAAACAGCCTGTTAGGAAGGTGGGATCCATGGGAGGGGGAGGACTAATGAAGAGCGTTAATTAGTATGACTATGGTAGAAGTAAGTTATTTGCATGTATAAAAACAGAACAATGGAATTATTCAAAGGAGAAGCGGGGGTAACAGTAATAGAGGGGTGAGGTTGATCAGGATACACTGTGTGTACAGGATTGTCACAATAACCCCCTACCCCAACCCCGTGCAACTGATATGTTAATTAACGGAAAAAAAAAAAAAAAGAACTGAGAGAAAAGGGGGCTGGAGATGGGCTCAGGTGGTAGCATGCCTGATTGGCAAGCAGGAGACTGGGTTCAATCACCACTCCTGCACCAGTAAAGTAACTATTGTAAAATATTGAGGTCCAAGCTGGGCGCCTGTGGCTCATGTCTGTAATCTTAGCTACTCAGGAGGCTGAGATCTGAGGATTGCAGTTCAAAGCCAGACAAGGCAGCAAAGTCTGTGAGACTGATCTCCAATAAATCACCAGAAAACTGAAAGTGGTGTTGTGGCTCAAAGTGGTAGAGCGCTAGCCTTGAGCTGAAGAGCTCAGGGACAGCGCCCAGGCCCAGAGTTCAAACCCTGCCACTGACCAAAAAACATAGAAATAAAAAAATAAAAAATTGAGGTCCCAAATTACATAATCAGATAACATTCTTTTAGTTTATTCACATGCTGGGGACAATTGGTTTCAGAACCCCTTTCAAGGGGCATAGTATTTGCATATAACCTATACGGAACTTCCTTCTCTGTACTTCTTTATATTTTGTGAGTGCTGGCCATTTTTTGGGGTCAGTTATGGGGCTTGAGCTCTGGGCCTGGGTGCTGTCCCTCAGCGATTCAACTCAAGGCATGTGCTCTACCACTTGAGCCACAGCGCCACTTCCGGTTTTCTGGTGGTTTATTGGAGATAAGTCTCATGGAGTCTCCTGCCCACATTGGCTTTGAATCATGATCCTCAGATCTCAGCCTCCTGACTAGCTAGGATTACAGGCATGAGCCACCAGTGCCCAACTGGTGCTGGCCCTGAATGTTCTAGGCAAGAGCTCATGACTGAGCCCCAGTCCTGGGTCTGTAATGTTTTTAGAATGTACATATATATAGTTAAACTATGCCTCATGGTCAAGAGCCCGGATACGGATACCTAAACCCTAGCTTTGCCAAATTCTTGAGAAGTTATGAGATCACTGGTCTAGGCTTCTGCGCTCTCAGCCATCCACTGAAGCTAATGCCACCTGACTTGGTGAGGTTTCCGTGAACAGAAAGAGGTAATTCATGCAGAATGCTGAGTCGTTCCTGACACTCACAGTACGGGCCCAGGAATTGTTGGCTGTTAGGCTTATTATTGCCATCACCATGGTCCTTTCGCCATGCGGCTACGGCCAGGGGCTCTTGGCCACTGCATCTGGCTGTGACAATGAGTCCAAGTACAGAGTATGGCCTCTCCTGTCCTCTGTCACTTGGTGGGCTTAGAGGCAAGTGGCACTCAGTAAAAAGGGGAGCAGGTAAAGGCTCCCAAAAAGCCAAGACTTGGAGTTAGGATGCACCTGACTTTTTAGTTGTTGTTGTTTGTGGGGTTTGAACTCAGGGCCTGGGTGCTGTCCCTGAGTTCTTTTGCTCAAGGCTAGAGCTCTGTTACTTTGAGTCACAGCACCATTTTCAGTTTTCTGGTGGCTAAGTGGAGATAAGAGTCTCATGGAGGGCTGGGAAGGTGGCTCAGTGGTAGAGTGCTCGCCTTGCATGTTCAAGGCCCTGGGTTCGATTCTTCAGCACCACATAAGAAAAAAGCCAGAAGTGGCGCTGTGGCTCAAGTGGTAGAGCGCTCGCCTTGAGCTGAAGAGCTGAGGGACAGCGCCCAGGCCCAGAGTTCAGGCCCCACGACCGGACCCAAAAAAAACCCCCCAAAAAATAAAAACAAAAACCTTAATTCTGGACATCATGTTTTGCTGGAGGAGAAAGAACAAATGAGAAAACAACTGAGGAAAAACCAGGAGCAAGCTGGGCCCTGGTGGCTCACACCTGTAATCCTAGCTACTCAGGAAGCGAGATCTGAGGATGCTAGTTCAAGCCAGCCCAGACAGGAAAACCTATGAGACTTTTTTTTTTTTTTTTGGTTGTGGGGCTTGAACTATGGGCCTGGGCGCTGTCCCTCAACTCAAAGTAAGCACTCTACCACTTGAGCCACAGTGCCAGTTCCAGTTTTCTGGTGGTTTATTGGAGCTAAGAGTCTCACGGACTTTTCTGCTTAGGCTGGCTTTGAACCATGATCCTCAGATCTCATTCTCCTTAGTAGCTAGGATTACATGTGTGAGTGAGCCACCAGCACCCGGCCTATGACACTCTTATCTCCAATTAACCACCAAAAAGCTGGAAGTGGAGTTGTGGCTCAAGTGGTACAGTGCTATCACTCGAGCCACACCTCCAATCTGGCATTTTGCTAGTTAATTAGAGATGGAGTCTCAAGAGATTTTTCTGCCCAAACTGGCTTTAAACTGTGATTCCCCAAGTCTCAGCCTCCTGAATAACTAGGATTACAGGTGTGAGCCACTGAAGCCTGGCTTCATGGAATCTTGAAGGAAAGAAATCATTTGGTCACTTTCCCTATCCATAAGCCATTAATCTAGAAAATAACATCTACAACCAGAAAACCTTCATATTTCTGCAAAGCAGGAAACACATTTTAATAACTCATGGGTTACAAATCTTCTCACAATCCTCATAACAATTCATATTTTTAGAAATACAGGAACTGAGATTGGAAAGAGAACATAATTTGCTCAGATTTACCTAGTTAGCAGTCAAACTAAGGTGTCTAATTCCAGAGCCCAGGGCATCAAGGAAATCCTTTAGATCCTACGTCACACAGAGATTTACAGGCCCTTTAGCAGCCCTGACCTTGTACTACTGGGTAGATTGTAGATGTATTCCCTCTAGCATTTGTCTCCTCTGGGCTCCTCTCGTTAGACTGAGATGAGAAATCTTTTTTTTTTTTTTTTTTGTCATGGTCTTGCTATGTAAACCAGAATGACCTTGAACTTGTGCCTCAGCCTCCTGGGTTCTGAGATGATAGTCAAGAAGCTGAGTAAAGGAGATGGAGCTTTTCAGGCTGGCTTTCCTATATGGCTTGGAACTAGATTTCTAAGACTTCCTTTCCTTATAAAGGTTTTTCCACAAAGGCCCACGTGGTTAGTGAACAAAGAAATGCAGAAGGGAAAAAAACAACACTTCCAGATGGTCCCCTGTCTTGCTGCAATGCAGATTAAATAGATTCTTTCAACATGCCATCAGGCAAAGATGAGTATCAATAGTTTTCAAATTATAAATGGAACAGAATAAAAATTGGATCTGTATGTGGACTTAAAATTTGAGGTGTCTCAGAGCAAAACACAAAAACAAAAAAACAGCCGACTAAAGCACCTTGATTCTGAGCACGTTGTTAGTTCACCACATTTGAGGTAAGAGGCAAGACCAAGCTGATCCCAGCCCTCCCTAGGTGTGGTCTGGTAGTCTTCTGAATTTGAGACGACCAGCATAGCGCCCTCTGGTGGCAAGGGCTGGTTGTGCTAATGGTTACTTGGTAGTTTCGCTACCTCCCATCTTAACCTACTCATTTTTTTTTTTTCCTCACAAGATTAATTTCTGGCAAACCCCAAAGACACCTAGAGCTTCTGAAGAACTGTTGTGTACTTTAGCATATCTCTCTGGGTTATGGGAATAATACTTTCTGTCCTCCGACAGCACTGATTTGAGTACCAATTCTGTGTTTCAGGCAATGGATGATAGTCCCTAGTGTAGAAAGTTACTTAAAGTGCTAATTAAGCACCAGTGCCCCCTGGGAAGGGCAAGGTTGAGGAGCAGGGAGAGAGTGCCAGGCAGGGCTGAAGACCCCTCTACTTGTACCCCAGAGGCAACATTGGTCCAAGTGAGACAGCAGGCTTTCTGGTCTGTCTTTATATCCTGGCTTCACAGGGTTCAGCTTGTGGCCTGGGCCGCCCCCAGCCCCATCCCCTGCTTAGTTCCCACACCATTGGGGCGCAGGCCCCAGAGAGTCAGTTTGTCAATCAGTCAGTGATCTATGTCCCAATGTGATTTTAAGATCAACAAACCCCAAATCAAAGTATCTAGTTATCCAATCAGCAGTGTGATACATTCTCTCAATCAGGTTGACCACTTTCTGATAGGTTATGGGGTGCCCCTTGGCAGCCCCTAAATGGAAAACTCAGCTCGAGAAAAGGCCAATTGTGCCTATAGATTAGAAAGGTAGTGTGGGGCCCCTGGAGTGAGCGATGGTCCAATGCCTTCAATGAGGTTGTTCCATTGATCATAGTCCTCTTTCAGATCTGACAGGGAAAAAACAAAGTCATTGTAAGGTTAGGTCCAAGCGCAACTATCACAGGTCCAGCAGATAATCCGAGAGAAGAGCACCTAGGATACCAAAAGAGCTGGTTCTAGGCTGGGATGGTGAGAGCAGTAGTGAAAATCTTTACTATTTATTCAGGGCCTATAGAAATGACTCAGTAAGGGCTGGGAATGTAGCTTACTGGTAGAGTGCTTGCCTAACATGCATGAAACCCTGGGTTCAATTCCTCTGTACCACATACACAGAAAAAGTTGGATGTGGCGCTGTGGTTCAAGTGGTAGAGTGTTAGCCTTGAGGAAAAGAAGCTCAGGAACATTGCCCAGGCCCTGAGTTCAAGCCCCAGGACTAGCAATAAATAAATAAATAAGTAAAAAATAAAAAGGGTGATTAAGAGCTGGGCACTGGTGGCTCATACCTGTAATCTTTAGCTACTTAGGAGGCTGAGATCTGAAGGTTGAAGTTCAAAGCCAGCCCAGGCAGGAAGTCCATGACACTCTTACCTCCAATTAACCACCAAAAAGGTGGAAGTGGAGTTGGGGCTCAAGTGGTAGAGTGCTAGACTTATACAAAAAAGCTCAGGGATTGTCCCTGAGCTTCTTTTCCTCAAGGTTAGCACTTTACCACTTGAGCCACAGCGCCACCTCTGGCTTTTTCTGTTTATATGTTACTGAGGAATCAAACCCAGGGCTTCATGCATGTCAGACAAGCACTCTACCACTAATCCACATTCCCAGCCCTCCCTCCCCCCCTCTCTCCCTCCCTTCTTTTCCTTTTCCTTGTGCTAGGGATGGAACCCAGGACCTCATGCATGCTAGGAAAGTACCCTACCAGTGGGCTGCACACCCAGCCTCAAGAGGTTTTTGTTGTTGTTTTTAAGGTAAGAGAAATGTTGCCATGAAATGAAGCAGCAGAGAGGGAAAATGTGTAGTTGTGAAGATGTGAATGGAGCGCAGCCTTGGCAGGGCACCGAAGGGGGCTCTGGGAACCAGGGAAGCTGGTCTGCCGAGCCCCCTCTGCAAGATGGCAGGTGTGGAATGGGGGTGGAGGAGGTGCCGGGGCTTCTATTTTCAGCCAAGTGTGAGGCAGTTATTCTGCAGGCAGAGGGAAAAGGTACTGGAGACCTCAGGAGGAAGAGGAAGGCCGAGGGTGGAGATGGTCCTGTGTATAGGTAATGGGAAGGAAGCAGCCATCTTACTGGAAGGCGCATCCTCCCGGGCTCTCGAGAAAATTTTTGTTTCTGTTTTAGCATACATGAGCGATACAAAGGGGCTTCCATGCTTACCTCACGCTTATCATGTACCCCAACCTCCCTCCCCTCATCATTAACCCTATCCCTACCTCCTCCTTGTTAAAACTGCAACAGGTTTCATTGTTCTACTTTCACACAATGCATATCAACTACCTGGTGCACATCCACTCTCATTCACCCTCTCCACTCCCCCGCCCTCCCCCTAGCAAAGCCTGTTTTAGTCTTCTGTCTCTCAGGTATTTTTTAGGAGTAGGAGGTGCCGATGAGCCATCCAGAGGCCATTTTAGTTTCCCATGTGACTACTCACTGTGACACACACACACACACACACACACACACACACACACACACACACACACACACACACACACACACACACTCACTTTCCTCTTTGGAATGTGAAGCAGTCCAGGCCCAGAGCCTTTTTTCTGACTTTGCCATATCTATCTGTCTTACGAGCTCTCTTCCTGTCAAGCCGCCCATTCGCCCACCCTCTGCATATAACCACGTGGTCAGCACAAGTCTAATCACTACACGTTCCTGCTTAGAAGGTGCCACAGGCTCCTCATGGCCTGTAGGATTAAATTCAAACTAACTTTAGCCAATACCTGGGCTTTTGTTCACGTCTCCACCTTTATCTGTCAACAACTCACTGTCCCAAGCTCCAGAGTCACTGCACAGTTTCCCGGCACCAGCCGTGCCCAGGCCTTTGTGCTTCTGTCTTTCTCTACTTGTGAGCTCTCTTCACCTGTCAAGACCAAAGGCAAGCATCGCTTTGTCCAGGGAGCCCCCTTGCTGCCATTCTTCCCCTCCCAGCAGTTAGGTGCCTGAGCTCTGGGGCTTTCTAGACTGTGTTCGCCACGCTCATGAGCTTGCTCCTCTATTGTCATCAGAGTCACCAACAGTGCAGTGCGACAAGGAAGTGTGTGGGTTCTTTGGAACCAGACAGCTTAGGTGGCATTTTGGCTTTGCCACTTAAAAACTACCTAAACAGCTAGGCATTAGTGGATTATACCTGCAATCCTAACTACTCAGGAAGTTGAGATCTGAGGATTATGGTTCAAAGCAAGCTCAGACAGGAACGACCATGAGACTCTTATCTCCAAAAAAAACCAAAAAAACCCAGAAGTGGAGCTATGGCTCAAGTGGTAGAGCACTAGCCTTGAGCACAAAAGCTTAGGGACAGCACCTAGTCCCTGAGTTCAAGCTCTAGGACAGGTAACAAAAAAAAAGAAAAGAAGAAAAAAAGAAAGACTAAACATACAAACCTTAACAAATTACTCAATCTTCCTTTCTTTTTTTTCTTTTGTTCTTCCCTCTCCTCCCTCCTTCCCTCCCTTCCTTCCTCCCTCCCTTCCTTCCTTTTCCCTCCCTCCCTCCCTTCTTTCCTTCCTTCCTTCTTTCCTCCCTCCCTCCTTCCCTCCCTCTCCTTCTCCTTCTCCCTCTCCCTCTCTCTGGGTGTGAACTCAGGGGTCTTGCATTCTGAAACTGAGCCATGCCCCAGGCCTTGGCCTTTTTGCTTTTTGTCAGTAATGGGGCTTGAATTCAGGGCCTGGGTGCTATTTCTGAGCTTTTTGCTCAAGGCTAGCACTCTACTACTTTGAGCCATGGCACTGTTTCCAGTTTTCTGGTGGTTAATTGGAAAGAATAGTCTCGTGGACTTTCCTGCCCAGGCTAGCTTCAAACTGCAGTCCTCAGATCCCATCCTGAGTAGCTAGGGTTATACAGGAGTGAGCCACCGGCACCCGGCATTGCCTTTGTTTTTTATAAAAATAGGGTCTCACATGCATACCTAAGGTGATCTGGACTGTGATCGGCCTGTTTATGTTTCCTATGTAGTGTCAGCTATTGAAAGAGATAAGGTGTCAAGTTTATGCCTTGGCTGGCCTCACACGACAATATACTGTGTCCAGTGGGGGTGACAGGTGGATTCCACCATATACAGCTGTTGACTGGATGAGATTTATATGTTTATGTCTGGACTGGCTTTGAATTGTAATCCTCATGAGCTCCACCTCCTAAGTAGCTAGTATTACAGGTGCCAGTCATTCTTGCCCAGCTCAAATAACTTTAATCTTTCAGTATCTTCATCTGTACAATGGAGTTAATAAATAAAAATGCATTCTAAAAAGGGCTGGCTTCAGAATTACATGTGATAATACAGCTAAAGTACGAAGTAGAAAAATACTGCCAGCATAAATTATCTAGTATAAATAAGTCTCTGGCAATCTTCCTACAATCTAATCTCTTCTGCGTTCTAACAGTCCTTCTGCTTATCTGTCACAATGAGTATCTCAGGTCCAATCTTTCTCCTCCTCTTCCCTCCCTCCCTCCTTCCTTCCTTCCTCCCTCCCTCCTTCCTTCCCTTCTTCCTTCCTTCCTTCCTTCCTCCCTCCCTCCTTCCCTCCCTTCTCTTATTTTGGCATTACTGAGGTTGTAGAACTCAGGGCTTCCCACTTGCTAAGCAAGTATTCTACTACTTGAGCCAGGCCCCCAGCACTTTATGCTTTAGGTTATTTCTTTTTTCAAATAAGGTTTCACATTTGTGTAGGCCTGGCCTCAGATCTTTCAATCCTCCCACCTATACATACCTTCATACCCAGCTTATTTTGTTGAGATGGGATCTTGCTAACTTTTTGCCCAGACTGCCTTGATTGCAGCCCTGATAATCACCTATGAGTAGCTAGGACTACAGACCTGCTTCATCGTGCCTGGCTTCCCTTCTCATCTTTCATTTTACTCTATTTTAATTAATTAATTAATTTTTGTCAGTCATGGCCTAAGAGCAGCCCCTGAGCTTTCCTTTTGTTTTTCTTTTTTCTTTTGTCAGTCTTGAGGCTTGAACTCAGGGGCCTGAGCGCTGTTGCTGAGCTCTTTTGTTCAAAGCTAGTATTCTACCCCTTGAGCCACAGCTCCACTTTCGGCTCTTTCTGTGATTAACTGTGATCTCAGCTTCCTGTGTAGCTAGGATTACAGGTGTGCGCCATCTGTGCCCAGCCTCATCTTTCACTTGAAACCCTTATAGAAGCATGGAGCCTAGGAGGAAAAAAAGAAAGGCTGATCAGGATCAGGCAGCCAGGAATCAATCATTCAAGTCTTATGAGGTGGACCCATTATCCTCCTTGCCAGGTGAGAAGAAGGATGCTCTATTAACCTAAGCCTCTAAATACTGGAAGACGATGCACAAAATGAAATGAATAGGACTAAATGTAAGAATGCAAATTTGATTCTAAGTATCAGCACATTCATAATAGGGCAGATATATTTTAAAAGCAAATTCAATTCAAACCAAATGTATGGCACGTGTGTATTAATTGTGAACACACCTAGGCCAGCCGATTGGATAGGAGTCAGTGTGCAGAGCACAGAGGTGAGCAGCCTTCTATGCCAGGCACTGGTCAGACCATATCTAGCACTCCAAGTCAGGGTATCGCTCTTTAAGGAGAAACTGATAAATAGGAGCCTACAGGAAAGGAGTAAGAAATGGCAGCATGGGGAATGGAATAGGAAACAGCTTTAGGTACTGGCATTTAGCTTCATGAACACAGGCCATCAGAGGTGACTAAATATCTAAAAAACTGCTGGGTGCCATTTGAGGTGGGAGGCTGGGGGTGTGCAGGGCGTAGCAAAGTATCAGACCTTGCTGTCAGGTTAGACTCGGTAGAACAGTCCAGGCAAGCCAGGCCCCTTCCTGATGTGAGCGTGCTATGCCCAGCCCTGCAGGGGCTTATCTCACACACTCCATTCTGACTACATCAAACAGGACAGCTGATCAAGGGAGCTCCGAACCTAGGCTGCACAGGGGCCAACAATGTGTTTGACAGGAAAAGATGTGCTATGACAATCATGTATCTCTCTAAGGAACAAGTCAAGGGAAAAAATGTATCTATCTCTATACATGTATCTATAGATACAGCTATATATGGCTATGGGCTGTGCGAGCTTTAGAGGAAAGGTGTAAAAAACGTCAGGTAGAGAGAAGGTACCAGTGGTTCAAATCAAGCAAAGTTACAAGGAAGCAGAAATGGAATGAACAGACATAATTAGAGAAAAAAAAAAAAAAAACACCAAACAGCAGAAATAAAGAAAAAAGTCTAGGACACAGAACATGGGGAACGGTGCAGGAAACAGGCAGGCACCATGGGTGTCGAGAGAGGAAGAGCCAAAGACAAGCCGTGAGACAGACTTGCAACAAGTGGCCTTGGCTCTTGTAACTGCGCTCCTGTACCCAGTCCAGGTGCGCTCTCAAAAGCACGCTTCCTTTATCCCCCCCACTCCTGCCCCCGATAAATTAGTGAACTTCCACTGTTTGTAACAACAACAACAACAACAAAAACCCAAAAACTTAAGTAGAATATCAGCTCCAGTAACCATTCATATTCCCCCTGGAGAAGCTGGCTTGATTATTGATTATTAGGAAGACAGGCAGGGGTACCTCCTCTGGGTAAGGCTCCAAAACTCTTGCTGGTTAGCTGCTGAATGGTTTGTGACATTTTTGCATGATCAGTTTTTTCTTTTTTTAGTTTGTTTGGTGGTACTGGGGTCTGAACTCAGGGCCTTGTACTGGCTAGGTAGATGTTCTACCACTTGAGCCACACTCCATGCATGGTCTGGTCTCCCTCCCCTCCCCTCCCAAGGAGATCTGAACTGTGATCTGCCTGATTATGTTGTCCAGCTATTGAACAAGATAGTGTCTCAAGTTTATGTCTAGGATGGTCTTACACCATAATATCTTGTCCTCAGCTCCCCTCCCCTCCCTTCCCCTCCCCTTTTCTTCCTGCCAGTACTGGGGCTTGAAATGAGGGCCTGGCTTCTGTCCCTTAGCTTCTTCACTCAAGGCTAGCCTTCTACCACTTGAACCACAACTCTACTCCCAGCTTTTTGGTGGTTTACTTGAGATAAGAGTCTTATAGACTTTCTTGCCTGGACGAGCTTTGAACGGTGACCCTTAAATCTCAGCCTCCTTAGTAGCTAGGAGTACAGGTATGAGCCATTGGTACCCAGTTCATGCATGGTTTCTTAAAAGTATACTTGTACACTTAGCTCAATTATCATAACTTCCCCGACAGGCTGATGAGGTGAGTGATGGTAAGTGTGGGTCAGGACAGAGGCAGTGGAGCTCAGAGGTGAACGCTCAATTTCTAGTGAGGAAACCAAGGCTCGGAGAGGTCAAATGAGAAGGCAAGGGCATTCACCTAGTAAGAGTTAGAGTTAGGATCTCTAAAGTTTGCAGGCAAGTGTTTTTTCTATGCTTCTATTTAACGGTCCTTCATTCGGTTTTCCTTGCTATAAACATGTCAGGACAGACCACACCATGCTATGGAGAAAGTAGAGTCCCCACATCTGCCCACTGGCCCCGGTTCTCAGCTTACCAAGGTGCTTCTGCAGGAAGGCCAGCATGGCCCGCACCATAACCTCCTGACCTTCATAGGGGTCCAAGCTCCCACGGGTGTGAGAGGAGAAGAATTTACCAAACAACTTTCCAGTCACAAAAACAAAGTCAGTCTGACTCCGATGAATGGAACCACTAGAGGAAAAGAAAAACAACTGGTAGGAATCTGGAGGGTAAGCATCCCAGTGTCAAGTACCTACTATGTGCCAGATACTTTCCACACATTATTACAGTAATTTCCCCAGAAACTTCATCAAGAAACTTCATACAAGAAAGGCTCTTGTAACTGCGCTCCTGTACCCAGTCCAGGTGCGCTCTCAAAAGCACGCTTCCTTTATCCCCCCCACTCCCGCCCCCGATAAATTAGTGAACTTCCACTGTTTGTAACAACAACAACAACAACAACAAAAACCCAAAAACTTAAGTAGAATATCAGCTCCAGTAACCATTCATATTCCCCCTGGAGAGAGAGATAGAATCTGAAGAAATGATCTCTCCAAAGACACTGGTGATAGGGAATATAGTTGTAGTTGTGTGTGTGTGTGTCTGTGTGTGTGTCTGTGTATTTGATACAGGGCTTGAACTCAGGGCCTTTTTTGCTCAAGGCTATAATGTTCTATCACTTGAGCTACAGCTCTATTTCTGCCTTGTTCATGGCTAATTGAAGATAAGAGTTGCGAAACTTCCTGCCCCTGCTGGCTTTGAATTGTGATCCTCAGATCTTAGCTTCCTGACTAGCCATGATTACAGACATGAGCCACTGTTGCCTGGCTCATAGAGCTATAATTTGAACCTAGGTATGCTTGATTTCAAAACTGATCTAATCCCTAGACAACCATAAGCCAGACAATGCAGGAAAAGGGCTGAACTTGGTAGAGTGCTGAGGACAGGAGGTAGATCCCAGTGCTTACTATTCCTATGTTTTAATCTGTTGGGAGCAGGTGACAGTTCTGGGGTTTGAACTCAGGGCGTTGAGCTTGCTCAGCTTGTTGACATGGCCAGGTACCCTACTATTGGAGCCACACTTGGCTTATTTTATTTTTATCAGTTGTGGGGCTTGAACTCAAGGCCTGAGCACTGTCCTTGACCTCTTTTTGCTCATCTAGTGCTCTACCACTTTGAGACACAACTCTACTTCCAGTTTTCTGGTGATTAATCAGAGATGAGTTTCTTAGACTTTCAAAGCCCAGGCTGGCTTGAACTGTGATCCTCAGTTCTCAGCCCCTGAATAGCTAACATTATAAGCATGAGCCACCAATGCCTAGCTTTTACTGGTTATTTTATTTTATTTTATTTATTTTTGCCAGTCCTGAGGCTTGAACTCAGGGTCTGGGCACTGTACCTAAGCTTCATTTTTTTGTTCAAGGCTAGTACACTACCACTTGAGCCAGCACCACTGCAAGCCTTTTCTGTTTATGTGGCACTGAGGAATTGAACCCAGAGCTTCATGAATGCTAGGCAAGCACTCAACCACTAAGCCACATTCCTAGCCCTTACTGGTTATTTTAGAAGCAGAGTCTATAATTTTTTTGGGGGGGTGGGGGTAGGGCAGGGCTGACTTCAAACTGTGTTCCTCCAGGTCTCAGCCTCCTTCCTAAGTAGCTAGGATTACAGGCTGAGCCACCAATACCCAGCTTATTATACTCTATTATGCAATGGCGTTTATCTGGTCACTTCCAAACATTCACAACATATTAAATATATTAACTTCTTGTCAGAACTTCACCATAGAGTTAATAGGGGAAAAGGAATTAGTTGCTTTTACTTAAATAATAATTTTTTTTTTATTTTATATAAATAATAATTTTTTAAAAAAGGCAAATGCATGTAGGAACAGGATTTTGAGTTCAGTCCTTAGGCTCTAAATACACTCAATCATTCATTTATTGGTCTGGGGACCAAATCTAGTGCCTTACTCATGCTAGGTACTGTGTACCTAGCTTCAGGTACCACTAAGCTACACCCCAGTCCTTTAAATACATTTAATTTGCAGGTGGAATTTTCACTAGGTTCATTTTGAGCTAAATTACTTATAACTAAATTTATGACTCAGTTCAATGGAGGAAGAAAAATCTTCCTGCTATCATGCAGATACTGATTTATTTATTTATTTATTTACTTACTTCTTCATTCATTCCGGTCCTGGGGCTTGAACTCAGGGCCTGGGCTCTGTCCCTGAGCCTCTCTGTGCTCAAGGCCAGTATTCTACCACTTGAGCGAGCCGCAGCCCCACTTCCAGCTTTTTCTGTTTATGTGGTACTAAGGACTGAACCCAGGACTTCATGCATGCTAGGCAAGCACTCTACCATGAAGCCAAATTCCCTGCCCTGATTTATTTATTCATTTACTTGTGGTACTATGGATAGAACCTAGAGCTTTGCTTATGCTAGCAAGCACTCTGGCACTATGCTATATCCATAGCCCCTGTCCCAATTAGTCTCCCCTCCCTTCTCTGCAGGCCATAACTGTCCATGTCTGACTGGCCTGGAGAAATATCCCAGGAATATCCCTATCCTCTCCGATGCCATGAAACAGCTGGTCCTGGGGAAACCTGGACGAAGATAGGCAAGCAGGAAAGTTACCATCTATCAATAGTCTCTGGGGCTCTGGCATTCAGGAGCTTGGCTTGGGCAGCTCAATGACCTGAGTGATTTCAAAGGCCCCTAGCACATGACTACCAGTGGTCTTCCTGGAATAGAGAGTAGGATACTGGACACATACCATATGTGGTGCTAGGCTTTAGTGTAGGACAAAAGCAAGTCAGCTCTGCCTTCAGCTCTATACTACCACTTTTACAGGGGTTTTCTTAAATAGTCACTGCCTTTTTGTTGTTGTTGTTCTTGATAGTGGAGCTTAAACCTTGAGCTCTTTTGCTCAAGGATTGTTCTCTACCACTTTGAGACAGAGTTTCGCTTCCAGTTTTTTGGTGGTTAATTGGAGATAAGAGTCTCACAGATTTTCCTGCCAGGGCTGGCTTTGAACTCAGTCCTCAGATCTCAGCCTCCTGAGTAGCTACGAATATAGGCATGAGCCACCAGCACCCAGCAATAGTCACTGTCTTAAAATCAATCAATTAATAAATCCAACCAATATCACTAATGATGAAGATGAAGTGAAAATAAGTGATTTGGGGAAGAAGTCATCTTATATTGATATTTATGAGTTTAGAGATTCATGAAAGTTCTGAAAATCTGATAAATGTCAAAGATCTATACATCTACTATATCCATACATTTCAAAAAAAAGAGAGAGAAAATTTTCAGATCTCTAGAACCCAACCAGACCCGCACCACACCACTTCTCCAACACACAATCTCACAATACTTTTTTTTTTTTTTAAATAGAAAGCCCTAGGTTAATCCTATCATGCAACCATATAAATTACTGAAGAAATCACTATAGACAGAGCTGAGTGAAAAAGACAAATATAAAATCCCAACGAAATTAAGATTTTTGGAAATTTAGGAAGTGTTCAGGTGCAAGGTTCTGGATAATCTGGAAGGAATGAAGGGAGCCATGGCTGCTGGGAAATGGAAAGGACGCTGGGGTTATGAGCTGGTTGGGACTTACTCACAGGACAGTTATGATCCTCGACTGTTCGTGCTGAGTGCATATCTTCTTCATCAAGTTGACACTCTCCACAGTCTGGAATTTCTCAGCATTGATGAAGAACACAGGGCCCCGGGCCTTTGGGTAAAAGTCGTGTTCCAGAGGAAACATCCAAGCATCCAAGGCCACAGCACACCTGGAAGAGGCAGACATGAACAGTGCTCCCGAGTCTAGTCATGAATAATTCTGGGACAGGGGAGGAGTTCTTCCTTTCAGTGCGCTGAAGACTCTGGAAGTCTCACATGGCTGGACAGACCCGAGAGGTGAAACTCCTGGAGTTTAGGCTTTGAGTCTAAATTCTAGTATTTAGAATTTAGCATCTGGTATCTAGCTCCTTTAATTTGTCTTCTCTTGGAATAATAACCTAATTCCCAGCCTCTCAAATAGTGATGAGAACACGATGTGTTTATAACAAACTTGCAGGATGGATGATGGGCAACAGCATCACTTGGAGGGAAACTCACCGGAACTGGGCCTCCTTGGCTAAGGCCAGAATAGCTGTGGCCCCTCCAAATGAATGTCCCATCACAGCCACACGGCTCATGTCAATGCCGCCCTGAGGAAAGCAGAGAATTTACTAAGCTAGACACTCAGGATTGCTTTTTTAAGGATTTCCTCAGGAGCAAGAGGAAGAAATAGTGAGGGAATGAGGCAAGGGCATGATACAGTGGGTGAGCCCACCCAAACCACACTATTAAGAGACTTTGGAGGTGGGCTTGGTAGTGCCTGCCTATAATCCCAGAAGTTAGGAGGCTGAGGCAGGAGGATCACAAATTTGAGGCGAGCCTGGGCTACCAAGCAAACCCTATCTCAAAGGGAAGATAGAAGGAAGGGAAGGAAGAAGGAATGGAATGAAGGGAGGAAAGAAAGGCAAAAAAGTTAAAAACAAGAACAACAACAACAATAACTTCTAATCTGAGCATAGTGATACCTGCGTGTGATCCCTGTACTCAGAATGAGGCAGAAGGATCATGGGTTTGAGGCCAGCCCAGGCTAGGTAGTAAGATCCATTTCCTGTGTAGAGAGCAGGAAATATTTCTCTCTACTTTTTTCATGTCACACTAAAATAAATCCTTTGGGACTGGGAATGGCTTAGTGGTAGAGTGTTTGGCTAGCATGCATGAAGCCCTGGGTTTGACTCCTCAACACCAAATAAACAGAAATAGCCGGAAGTGGTGCTGTGGCTCAAGTGGTAGAGTGCTGGCCTTGAGCAAAAGAAGCTCAGAGACAGTGCTCAGACCCTGAGTTCAAGGACTGACAAAAATAAATAAATAAAATAAAGTAAATCCTTGCTAAAGCTTACAAATAAGTAAAAAAAAAAAAAAATTAAAAAGAACACCTGGGCCAGGTGCTGGTGGCTCATGCCTAAATCCTAGCTACTTAGGAGGCTGAAATCTGAGGATAGCAGTTCAAGGCCAGCCCAGTCAGGAAAGTCCGTGAGGCTCTTATCTCCAAGTACCCATGTAAAAACCAGAAATGGAGCTGTGGCTCAAAGTGGTAGTGTTAGCCATGAGAAGAAAAGCTCAGGGACAGCACCCAGGCCCTGAGTTCAAGCCCCATGACTGACAAAAACAAAACAAAAGAGAACATCTAGGAAGATGGCACAGTGGTAGATCACTTTCCCAGCATGCCCAAGTTCTGCATTCTACCTGTAACACCACAAAATAAAACAAAACCCAACAAAGAACCTCTTGCCTACTAGAGAGCAGACACACAAACAGTCCTTGGTATCAGCAGCCCTTTGTAGCAGGAATTCTGAGAACCATAGTTTTCGTCTTTGTACTTCTATCATCTCCTAGTGCTAATACCTGCCAAAGATGGACATTCAAGTACCTATGAGTAAGTGAATGGAAAGGAGTTGCCAGATTACTGGCTCATCAGTCTAAGACTGCACTGAGAGTAAGCTCCCTCCAGCCTCTCCAGCCCTTGCCTCATGAGCTGGAACTACGGAAGGCTGCATGACCCATGCAGAAGAGAAACAGAGGAGACTCCTGTGGCGCCTCCGTTTCTCTCTGGAGCAAGGACTGCTTATGCAGAAATAACTCAGGCTTACACTTCCTCTCTGGCTATCTGTCCTGATTTTTCTCCAAAGCTCAAGAGACCAAACTGCATCTGTGTGTTCTGACTGCTTGGCTAGTGTCTATTTCTGGTTGTCCCAGGTGCCTTCAGGGCATAGTTACATAAAAAATCACCACAGCTGCCTGCTAGAAGGCTCAGGAATTCTCTCTAGGCTTTGAAGTCTAGCCTCTGCTTGGTAGAACCTTTACTGTTCTCTACTTCTATCCCAGGGCTTTGTACCTATATTCTCTCCCTTTGCTCAATACCTTCAGACTAGTATCCAGGATGGACTGCCTTTATAGCTACTTTTTAATAGGTGAATATATTCATATACCTCCAAACCAGAAGTACACAGAGAAGTCTCTCACTCAGTTTCCTTTCCCTACCCCCACGAAGGTAAATGTTCTTTAGTTGTCCTTGAGAGGACTGCTTCTGCATGGGTGAGTGAACACAAATGTACACTTGTCCTCTTTTCTCACAGGTGCTTCTGTAACCAATGGTTTTATGTAACAATACTAACACAGAAAGAACTTCTTTCTTACAGCTATGTTTGATTCTATCATAAAATAGACAGCTGGCAGTAACCAGTTCTCTCACTGGTGAACATTTAGGCTTCTGCTGATCATTTGCTATTACAAACAATACTGGCGTGAATATACACAGGCAATGCCGTATATATGCAGGTATTATGGGATAAAATTCCCAGAACTGGAAATTGTTGGTCTAGAGAACAGGTATTAATATTAATAGTGTTGACAGATCTTGCCAAACTGCCCCAAGTTGGGCAACTGCCCTCCCCAAGTGGAGGATACCAACTTCCCCATAGCTTATCAACAGTACCACTTGAGCCACAGCTCCACTTCTGGCTTTTTGCTGGTTAATTAGAGATAATAATCTCTTAGATTTATCTGCCCCAGCTATCTTTGAACCAGGATCATCAGATCTCAAGCTCCTAAGTAGCTAGGATTACAGGCATAAGCTACCAGTGCCCAACCCAACATATGTTTATTGCATATATAACCAGAAAAATTTTGATGAATATGTAACTCTGTGACATACCAATTGGGGCCATACCTTGAAGGTCATCAGATCCAATCCACCAGGCAAGACATTGGGGACAGTCCTCCCAGCAGTGACTTCCTGCAGGATCCTCAGCACCTGCATGCACTCTCTCACCCGCTGGTGCACCTGCAACATAGTCCAGTAGGAGCTGAGGCACTCCACAGCTATCCAGTGAGAACAGTGCCCATCCACATGACTGGGGCAGATGTGGGAGGAATTTGCCACCACATCCCAGCAAGCACTGCAGGGCCCTGTAGCTCACATACATACCACCAAATGGCATGATGGAATTAGCTCCGTTCAGACTTCACCTACTTACCTATAGGGCTGTTAGAATGACTAAGTGAGACAATGTACATTACAGCTTTTTTTTTTGGTCGGTTGTGGGTCTTGAACTCAGGGCTTGGGAGCTGTTCCTGAGCTTTTTCACTGAAGGCTAGCCCTCTACCACTTTGAACCATAGGTCCACTTCCAGTTTTCTGACGCTTAATTGGAGATATGAGACTCACAGACTTTCCTGCCCAGACTGCCTTTGAACTGCAATCCTCAGATCTCAGCTTCCTGAGTAGCTATGATTACAGGCGTGAGCCACCAATGCCCAGCTGCTATAGCATTTTGAAAACAAAATAATTTTTTTTGGGGGGGTCTGGTCGTGGGGCCTGAACTCTGGGCTTGGGTGCTGTACCTCAGCTCTTCAGCTCAAGGCTAGCGCTCTACCACTCGAGCCACAGCTCCACTTCCGCTTTTTTTCTTTTTGCTTATGTGGTGCTAGGGGATCGAACCCAGGGCCTCATTCATGCAAGGCAAGCACTCTACCACTGAGCCACCTTCCCAGCCCCTGAAAACAAAATAAATTTTAAGGGTGTTCTTTTTTATTTTTTTCCTGGTCGTAGGGCTTGAACTCTGGGCCTGAGTGTTGTCCCTCAGCTCTTCAGCCCAAGGCTAGCGCTCTACCACTTGAGCTAAAGCACCACTTCAGGTTTTCTGGTGGTTTATTGGAGATAAGAGGCTCACAGACTTTCCTGCCCAGGCTGGCTCTGAACCTCGATCCTCAGATCTCAGCCTCCTGAGTAGCTAGGATTACAGGCGTGAGCCACCGGCGCCTGGCTAGGGTGTTCTTATTAACACTTCAGCACTGGGTTCTGCTTGTCTACTTATAGCACACATCAGTTATTTTTGTCTGCCTAACAACCAATGCCCTGTTCTCTTAACTCTTCTGAGCACCACCCCATTCTAATCTAACACTGCGTTGCTGGTCACCCCATTCTAATCTAACACTGCGTTGCTGGTCACCCCATTCTAATCTAACACTGCGTTGCTGGTCAGAGCTTTCACCTTGGCATCCCTCCTCAGACTATGAATTCCTCTCGATTCTGACAGTACCAGGGTTTGACTGAGGCTCCATACTCATTCAGCTCCCTTCTTTTTTTTTTTTCCAGTCATGAGGCCTGAACTCTGGGCCTGGGCACTGCCCCTCAGCTCTTCAGCTCAAGGCTAGCACTCTACTACTGGAGCCACAGCTTCCAGCTTTTTCTGCTTATGTGGTGCTAAGGAATCGAACCCAGGGCCTCAGGCATGCAAGGCAAGCACTCTACCACTGAGCCACCTTCCCAGCCCCATCAGCTCCCTTCTTTAACCGAGGCTTTAACACTAGAGAGAGCCATACCTCCAGACCACTTTTTGCTGGTGGTTGCTTTGGAGTTGGAGTAGGATTACAGGTGTGAGCAATCAGTGACTGGCTGGCTCCAGTGGTCTTGTCCCTCCTATAGCCCTCTTAGATGAGCCAGTCAGCTCCCCTTTTCACCTATGCAAGCTTGAGTTGGATTTCTCCCACTGACAATTTTAAGAGTCCTGATCACTACCCCATTTATTCCATGGAATGGCAGATGTGCTATGATTAAAATTTTCAGAGAGGGTACTGGGGGTGTGGCTCAGTGGTATCTTGTCAGCCTAGCAAGAAGAGACCATGAGTTCAAACCCCTAGTATCACAAGCGTGAAAGAGAAACAGAGAGAGGGAGAGAAAGAGGTTAGTTAAAAGTCTTGTTTATGAGGGCTGGGAAGATGGCTCAGTGGTAGAGCGCTTGTCTTGCATGCATGAGGCCCTGGGTTCGATTCCTCAGCACCACATAAGCAAAAAAGAAAAAAGCCAAAAGTGGCACTGTGGCTCAAGTGGTAGAGCGCTAGCCTTGAGCTGAAGAGCTGAGGGACAGCGCCCAGGCCCAGAGTTCAAGCCCCACGACTGGAACCCCCCACCCCCCAAAAAAAGTCTTGTTTATGAGACTGGAGTATGGCTCAAGTGGCAGAGCATCTGCCTAGCAAGTATAAATGAGTTCTGAGTTCAAACCCCACAACTGCCTCCCTCCTCCAAATCCATAAGAGCTGGCTCAAGTGAGAGAGCGTCTGCCTAGCAAGATCCTGAGTTCAGTCCCTACAATCCCTAGCACCACACACATGTGCGCGCGCGCACATACACACACGTATGCATGCATGCACACAAATCTTGCTTATGAAGCACTATGGTCTAGATAAGTGTCTCCCACATGGATGTGTTAGAAGGCGTGGTCCCCAGAAGGGTGCTACTGGGAGATGCTCGAACCTTTAGGAGAGGGAGCCTAGAAGGAGATCTTTTAAGCCACTGAGGACTTGCCCTTAAAGGGGATTGTGGGATGTTGAACTTTTCCTTTCTTCTATTTCCTAGTTCAAGAGGTGAGTGACCACATTCCCCCCTACCCCCATCAGAGCCCCAAAACAGTAGGTTTGCTGATCTGGGACTTGAACTCCAAAAACATGAGCTAAATAAAGCTTTTCTGAGTTAATTTTCTAAAGTATTTCACTATAGCGATAGCCCACTAACATGACAAATATAGTAGAGAAGGCAGGCTTATTAACTTTTCCTACTCAACTGGCACAGCCTACCTGAGGATTCCGGATATGGAATTCCTTCTCCCCTTCCTCGATTCGGCGGTAGGGGATCCATTCCTCCTCCAGTGACTCACCGGTGGGCTGGTTCTCCTCTAGGGGCTGCTTATAGAAATAGGTGGTTGAAGCTGACTGGTCCCTGAGATACACATGCCATCAGAGAGAAGACAGAACACACTTGTTAGCTTAATTTTCCTCTTCCCCAACTCTTTCCCAATATCTTGGGTACCTTCTATGACAAAAAAAAATAAATAAAATAAAATAAATAAAAATGAGTATAATAGCCCAGTGCCAGCTCACATCTGTAATCCTAGCTACTCAGGAGGCTGAGATCTGAAGATCACTGTTCAAAGCCAGCCCAAGCAGGAAAGTCTATGAGACTCTTATCCCCAATAAACTACTCAGAAAAAGCTGGAAGTGGCACTGTGGCTCAAGTGGGAGAGCACTAACCTTGAGTAAAAGCAAAAGAATCTTAGAGTCAGTGCCCAGCCCAGAGTTCAAGCTCTAGGACAGGCCAAAAAAAGAAAAGAAAATGGGGGGAAAGGGTATAATGCTCACTTTATATGACTGTGGGAAGATTAAGAATAATACACTGTGGCTGGGGATATAGCTCAGTGGTAGAATATTTATCTAGTATGTCTGAAGCCCTGTGTTTGATACCTGGCATTGTAAAACCAAAACAAAAATTCTAAAAAAGAAATAATGCATTGATGAACACTAGCCTAGTTCACTGCAGGCACCCAGTCGAGGACAGTTCATTGTGATTGTTGTCCCTTACCTGTGTTCTGGCACTGCAACCACAAAGCCACGGGAGGCCAGCTCCATACAGAAGGCTGAATACACTGTCCTACAGATTCACAAGAGAACAGAGGTAAGGAATGAAGAGAATAATTAGCTTTCACTCCCACTGTCTGCTGGTGGCCATCTTGAAAGGCTGACGGGCAAAGTACCCTCCTCAGGTGCTGTACCTCATCCCACCAGCGGTGCCCATGTCCATGTCTAGGACATGTTTGCAAATCAATCCAAGGTGCCTTCTAACCCCACAGAGCCGGTCCAGCCCTGCACCCAATATATTCTAGCTGTTCTAGTGGCATTCTGATTATCCTATTTTGATATATTGTGTTTCCCAAATTAGTGGTCAAACTCCCTAAACAGGAACACTGGATATTTCTTTCTTTCTTCTTTTTTTTCTTTTTTTTTTTTGTTGGCCATAGGGCTTGAACTCTGGGCTTGGGCGCTGTCCCTGCGCTCTTCAGCTCAAGGCGAGCGCTCTACCACTTAAGCCACAGCACCACTTCGGGTTTTCTAGTGGTTTACTGGAGATAAGAGTCTCACGGAGTTTCCTGCCCAGGCTGACTTTCAACCGAGATCCTCAGATCTCAGCCTCCTGAGTAGCTAGGATTATAGGCATGAGCCACCGCGCTCAGCTCTGGATATTTTTTTATAATTCAACTCATATGCAATTTGATGTACGAATCTTTTTGTCTGTGCTCCAGCTTTCCAGGGAAAAAAAGGAATATGGCAGAATCTGCTGACTGCCTATTCTAAACCCCTACATTCATTCCCCTTTCCCTTCAGTAAGAGAATCTGATTTTCAGCTAACACTGCCAAGCCATCAAAATTCCACATCTCCTAGTCTCTCTTGCAACTATGTTAATCTGTGTGATTAAGTGCTAGCGCAATATGATGAACAGAAATATGCTAAATTTAAAAGGAACTTTCTGTACCATTTTTTTTCTTTTAAGATGATGAGACTGAGCCCAGGGCCTTGTTCATGTTAGGTAAACATTCTACCACTGAGCTACATACATCACCAACACCTAATAGACATGTTTTAAAAATAAAGAAGAGGGGCTGGGAAAGTGGCTCAGTGGTAGAGCGCTTGCCTTGCATGCATGAGGCCCTGGGTTCGATTCCCCAGCACCACATAAACAAAAAGAAAAAAAGCCAGAAGTGGCGCTGTGGCTCAAGTGGTAGAGTGCTAGCCTTGAGCTGAAGAGCTGAGGGACAGTGCCCAGGCCCAGAGTTCAGGCCCCACGACCGGACCCAAAAAAAAAACAAAACAAAAACAAAAATAAAGAAGAAAGGCGCTGGTGGTTCATGCCTATAATCCTAGCTGCTTAGGAGTCTGAGATCTGAGGATCGCAGTTTGAAGCCAGCCTGGGCAGGAAAATCTGTGAGACTCTTATCTCCAATTAGTCACCAAAAAAAGCTAGAAATGGAGCTGTGGCTCAAGTGGTAGAGAGCTAGCCTTGAACAAAAAAGCTCAGGGACAGCTTCCAGGCCTTGAGTTCAAGGCCTAGGGTCAGTACAAAAAAATAAAAGACATTAACTTAATAATATATTTTATTTAATCTATGATAGCCTTTTATACTTGTTATACTTTGTTCAACCTGTATTTAACTTACTGTAATTTCAAGATAACTAGACGTTTAAAATTAGCAACTTTTTTTCTATTCTTTTTTTTCTTCTTTGAGATAGGGTCTCATTAAATAGTCTCGGTCAGCCTGAATTCATTATATAGTCTAAGCTGGGCTTGAACTTTTTTTTAATATGTATTTTTTATTGTAAAAATACTAAAAAAAAAAAAAAAGATACTGTACAGAGGGGTTACAGTTACATGAGTAAGGTAATAAGTACATTTCCTATCGAGCAGTGTTACCCCTTCCTTTGTTTTTCCCCTACCATCCCTTTGGCCTTGAACTTTTGATCTTTCTGTCTCAGCCTCTCAAGTGTTTGCCACTCTACCTCACTTATTTATGATTTTTTTTTCTATAACTAGTATAGGGGTTTGAGCTAAGAGACTCGAGCTGACTTGGCTGGCTTGCTTGGCTTGCTTGTGCTACTACCACTTGAGCTATACCTCTAGCCAACCCTGAATTTTACTGGTTATCTTGGAGATGAGTCTCACCAGGCTGGCTTCAAATAGTAATCCTCTAGATCCTCTAGCCTCCTGAGCAGCTTGGATGACAGGTGTGAGTCACTGGCAATTGGGTTTGAAATATTTTATGTTCTTTTCATATCTACTTTCTGAAATCTAGCGTACATTTTACACTTGTAATAATCCCAGTTTGGACCAGGCTCATTTCAAGGATTGCAGAGCTTCACGGAGCTAGACACTATAATAACTGACAAACCAACGCTAGTCAATGAGCTGCAATCAGTTGTTATACACAACTTCCAGCAAAAAGGGAAAATGTTATTGCCTAAGGTGTAGATATAATGGCTAGAACTAAAGCAGACACCCTGGGTCATGAGATAACTGTAGAAATGAAAGCCACAAAAAACGGTACAGAAAATTATATGAAAGTCTGGTTCTCTGGTAACTTCTTTACATCTAGCTTTTTTTTTGGGGGGGGGGGTCTGGTCATGGGGCCTGAACTCTGGGCCTGGGCGCTGTCCCTCAGCTCTTCAGCTCAAGGCTAGCGCTCTACCACTTGAGCCACAGCGCCACTTTCCGGCTTTTTTCGTTTTTGCTTATGTGGTGCTGAGGAACTGAACCCAGGGCCTCATGCATGCAAGGCAAGCGCTTCTACCACTGAGCCACCTTCCCAGCCCTACATCTAGCTATTTTTCGTCAGAAACTTTTCTTCTCTTTTTAAGACAGGTTCTTGACATGTTGCCAGAATGGCCTCAAACTCGTGATCTTCCTGCCTTTAGCAGGCATCCATGAAAAATAAACTTTAACATGTTTTAGTCAGTATTATTTGGATTTTATGTGTGTGTTGGTCCTGGGGTTTGAACTCAGGGCCTGGGCACTATCCCTGAGCTTCTTTTGCTCAAGACTAATGCTCTACCACTTGAGCAACAGATTCACTTCCGGCCTTTTTTGATGATTAATTGTAGATAAGAGTCTCAGGGACTTTCCTGACTAGGCTGACTTTGAATCAGCCTCTTGGATTATAGGCGTGAGTCACCAGTGCCTAGCTCTCTTTGGACACGTTATGTGAAATATACCTTCCAAAGTCCTCCATGATACAGAAAAGTCAATTTTTTCTTTTCTTTTCTATCTTTTTTTTTTTTTGTGTGTGTGTGTGTGTATGCCAGTCCTGGGACTTGAACTCAGGGCCTGGGCACTGTCCATGAGCTTTGCTCAAGGCTAGCACGATACCACTTGAGCCACAGTGTCACTTCCATCTTTTGATGTTTATGTGGTACTGAAGAATCAAACCCAGGGCTTCGTGCATGCTAGGTAAGCACTCAACCACAAAGCCACATTCCCAGCCAAGAAGATCAATTTCTTAAGTTTCCTTTAGTTTTTTTTTTACATTTTTCCAGAGGAGGCAGTAAACTGGACTGAAGAGGCACAATGATTTCTGATCCTTTCCCAGCTCAGTTCAAACTGTGTTACCTTGAGACTGTCTGCCATTCAGAGCCTACCACTCAGCCCAAAGACATACATCCCCACCTGCCTACTCCAACACTGAAGCTGAATCCTCTCCAGTGACTCGAACACTTGGGAGGCTAAGGCAGGAAGATTGAGAGTTTGAGGCCAGCCTAGGCTATATAGCAAAATCTTGTCTCAAAAAAAAAAAAAGAGGATGTAACACTGAAATCATCTGCTTTCTTTTCTGGCCTCATCTCTACATCTACTTTCCACTTTCGACCAGGTACAGAAGCCTATGTCCCAGCTCCTCCAGCCCACAAGACTTTCTTGATGTATCTTATGGCAAGGAGCTGGCACTGAACATGTGCTCAATAGATATCTTCTGGACGAATGAAAGCCCAGAAAAACACAGCAGATAGATAGATAAACAGATACATATTTGGGAAAGTATTACTTTTTAGGCATATAAGCTACTGGGAAGGCAGATATAAAATAATAATCCACAAATAAAAAAAACTTATGTGCTATTATGTTAAAATATCCAGAAGCACAGAAGACACTGAAAACTTAATATAGGGGTCAGGATGGGCCTAAAGAAGTGGCATCAAGGCCAGAGGTGGTGTATTATGCCTAGAATCCAAGCACTTGGGAGGCTGGTCAGAAGGATTGTGAATCCAAGAACTGTCTGGGCTACACAGTGAGACCTTGCCTCAAAAACACAAAGTGGGAGCTGGAGGTGTGACTCAAGTGGTAGAATACCTGCCTAGCAAGCTCAAAACCCTGAGTGCAAATCCCAGTAATGCCAAAACAACAACAAAATCCAAGTGGCATCCAAACTACGACCTTGAAGGTAATTTGGAATTGACTATACAAAAGAGGGAGAAAGAGGAAAGACAAGCTTGGCTATCTCCAATTAACCACTAATTAAGTTGGAAGTAGAAGTATGGCTCAGGTAATAGAGTACCGGGGCTGGGAAGCTGGCTCAGTGGTAGAGCGCTTGCCTTGCATACATGAGGCCCTGGGTTTGATTCCTCAGCACCACATAAGCAGAAAAAGCCGGAAGTGGCACTGTGGCTCAAGTGTTAGAGTGCTAGTCTTGAGCTGAAGAGCTGAGGGACAGTGCCCAGACCCAGAGTTCAGGCCCCAAAACCAGCAAAAAAACAAAGTAGTAGAGTACCAGCCTTGATTGGAAAAAAACTAAGGGACAAAGCCTGGAACCAGTACACATACAATTTTTTTTTAAAAAGTGGGATTAACTTCAAGAGTTATTTAATTAGAAGAGGAACATTCATTCACTTAATCAACAAATATTTCCTGAGCATCTCCTATATGTCAGGCACTATTGAAAGTGACGAAATGACAAGATAGTATTTGATTTTAAAATAGCAATCTAACTAGGCACTGGTGGTTCAGAAGGCTGAGATCTGAGGATCACGGTTCAAAGCCAGCCTGGGCAGGAAAGTCCATAAGACTCTTCTCTCCAACTAACCACTGAAAAATCAGAAACAGAGCTGTGGCTCAAAGTGGTAGAGCTCTGGCCTTGAGGTAAAACGCTCAGGGACAGGGCCCAGGCCCTGAGTTCAAACTCCACAGCGCGCGTACGCACATGCGTGCGTGGACGCGCACACACACACACACGCACGCACACGCACATGCACTTGCACATGCACGCACACACGCATGCATCCCTGGCTATAGGTGGACAATGGTTTGAGATTGGGGAAGCCTCTAAGATATGTGACACACTCTGAGACATAAACTAGCCACAGATGTTGATAGATAAAACAGACAAAGCATTCACAAGCTTAACTATGAATACCTGTACTATAACTCCTAAGCCATATAACACACCAAGGGATAGAAACTAAGAGGAAATCATGGGAAGAATCCTGAATGGACACTAAATTATTCCCAAACTGGTGAAAGAGATCTTGGAGTCTGGCAGTGCTACGTCCCTCCATGTGGAGAAAGGGAGAGAACTGGCAAGGTGATGCCTAAGTAGGCGTCAATCCAGCCCAAGCCTCAGAAGTCATCCTGTGGGAGAGGCATTCTCATCTGGCAGATGCTAAAATCCAAAGCCTTCTTCCATTCACACAGGACACGAGTATGGGGTATGGTTGGGGTTTGGAAGTTAGGCCGCTAGCTCAGTGAGCACAAGGAATGAGCCTGTCTTATTCTCCTGTCAATACCACGCAGAGTGGATGCACAACATAGATTTAATAAAATTTCTCTTAAACTCTTCCTAGTACTTTGGGGTTGCAATAGAGGAAGACAATAAGACATGTATATTTATATAGCTGCTGGAAGCTGAGAAGAAAAGGCTGCTTGAGAAAGGCCTTCTAGAGAAGGGGGACCCAGGGTTATCGCAGGAGGCAGATGGCAGATAAGACAGCGAGCAGACGGAGATGTCTGGTATTCTGCCCTTAGAGAATAAGATACATCTTAGCAGCTGTCACTAGGCAAAGAACATGATAGAAACTCTTACCTGAAGGCTCCCAAACCATGGGAGAAGATGATCAAAGGGTATCCAGAGTCTTTTGTCTTAAAGGAGCCATTCCAGCTAACAGGCAGGCGACAAGATCCTGGTATAGAGACATGGGTATAGAATCTCTGGCTGCCCTGGTTGTATAATCCCAAAGGCAGTCTACACACAAGCATTGAGGGTGGGGAAGCATTGGTGGTTTCTCTCCTCTAGACAATCACCAGTCACCCCTGCTCCAGCCAGGGCCATCATCATCATTTACTCTCTCCTCTTCACTTCCCTAGGGAGAGTGAATACCATGAAAAATAAATGAATGAATTAGATAGTACCAAAGGAACAGGGCTGGTGTATAGCTCAATGTAGCCCAGCATGCAGGAGGCCCTTGGTTCCATCTCCAGGACAATATTGAATAAACTGAAGGCAGATCCCTGAGACGCCAAGACTGTGGGTACAGTTCCTGGGCGTGGATGATTTAGTCAGTGATCCTACCCAGAAGACGGTAGGACCAAAGAGAGAACTGTAGGAGCCTATGCTCTCTGTAAGCTTGGAATGTCTGAGATAAGGGCTGGGGGTGTAGCTCAGTGGTAGAGTGCTTTCTAGCATGCCTAGTTGGGTTTGATCCCCAGCACTACCAGAAAATGAAAAAGAAAAAAGAAAAATGATCAAATGTATACAACAGTTGATTCAGAGTAAGGATTAGTGCACACTGGATAAAGGAGTCATAGCTTCTACTTCTGCCCCCAGTTGATATCTCAAGTGTTGCACAAGTGGCTTTGCAGACACCTCACAGATGGGGTAAGATCTCACTTAGATGGGGTAAGTAACTTGCTCTAGTAAATCATAAAGTCTGGAGAGTCAACCTCAATGTCCAAAGCTCTTATCTATGTGATTCTCTCCCAATTCTCCCACACCACCCACTAAGAGATGGCTGTATATGCCTGGGTATCCTCTCAGGGTGTTTCCTAGGGATGTAACCATGCAACTGGGCAAGCATCTGCAGCCAGGCCAGCCTTACCCACAACCAGGTTGAGCAGCAACCCCACCCAGCGCTTGTTAAACTGCAGGTAATCGGCCAGGCCAGTGCAGTACTCGTATCGAGGAATCCAGAGAGGCTGCTCTGGGGTCTCTTCCACCTCTTGGCAAGGGTAGAAGAGTCGAAAGAAGCTCCCCTGTAGCAAAGAGAGCAGCTGCTCAGTGAGAAGACAAAGCACTGCTGGGTCTCCCAGTAGACATACTCATCAGGTGTCTGGGGTACAAGACAATCAGGATACCAACATGAAGAAACTTAGGCTTCTTCAACATACCTAAACTTTTCTCTGTGTGTGCCAGTCCTGGGGCTTGAACTCAGGGCCTGGATGCCATCCCTCAGCTTTTGCTCAAGGCTAGCACTCTACCACTTGAGCCACAGCTCCACTTCCAGCTTGTTGGTGGTTAATTGGAGTCTCACAGACTTTCCTCCCTGGGCTGGCTTCAAACTTAGATCCTCAGATCTCAGCCTTCTGAGTAACTAGGATGACAGGTGTGAGCCACCAGCGCCCTGCCAACATACCTAAACTTTACATTTAGAAAATCCAAAGAGAAGCAATCTTCTTTTGAACATACATGGAAAGCTTATGTTATTACAAATAGCTAACTATATTTTTGAATTACATCTTGGCAGGGCACCAAAATATTTTAAGTGCTTGGGCCATTGAAAGATTTCAATCTGGTCCTGAGCCCAGGCTTGGAAGAGTCTAGAGAAGTTAAGATTTGCCCTTGTGCCAAACAGGGTGGCATCAGTGGGTCACCCAGACTGGTCCTCCAGGGCTGGCTCTCAGGAAGCAGTAGCATACTCATTTGACAGGGGAAGAGATGAGGGGGTTACTAGAAGTGGGAGCCTCTTACAAGGGAAAGAGGACCCAAGAGCTAGCAGAGTAAAACCTAGGGGCAGGTGGAAGAAAAGTTCAGAATGGAGCAGGAGGGAACTAGGTGAAGGCAGAGAGGAGGTCATCATCTTTCCACCCATGGCACATGGCTCACTGCTCACTGAAAGCCTTCCAGGGTCAGCATCTGCCCTCAATTCCTCCTACTCAGTACCTATACGCTCACTGAAGCCCAGAGCAGGCAGCAGGCAGAAGCAATGGAGCTGTGCAGGGGTGGAGCTGGGTTCACATACCTGGAGACTATGACCTTCCATCACATCCCCGCAGCCTACATGGTAGGGGCCGGAGATGGGTGGAAAGCTCACAGACTGGCCGGTCCCCATGGCATCGCCAGTGGATGGACTCAAGTGTCAGCGTGGTTCTGAACTTGAGGGCTGGAGGGTGGAACACAGAACAGCCTCTTGCTGGTTTCTTCCTAGTTTCCTTTGTTATAAGGGTCACGTGCCCCTTGTCAGCACTCCCTCCCCCCACTCTCCGCCCTCATCACCACATCCTCCGTGGCCTGTCACTCACTGAATCATGCATACCATTCACTTGGCAATGTTTAGGGCTGCATTTCCCATCCTCCTCCCCTGCCCCTACCGTTGATGGAGTAAGAAGATGGCGGTGAAGAAGAGACAGAACTTTCATATGCCACAAAACCTACTACCAAGCACTTATGCAACCCTATCACATGCCAGGCATGGCAGCAACTGCTGTAGAGACGTCTACGCAGGCCTGGCCCTCACCAGGGCCCGCTTACCTGTCCACACTGTACCAAGAATCTCACATACATCATCTCATTTCACTGCCTTAAAACTCTCTGTGATAGCTAGTGCCAAGACCTATTTTACAGATGAGGAAACTGAGGCACAGAAAGGTTCAATAACTTTCCCCAGTTACTCTGCCGATGGGTGACAAACCCAGGCTCTGTCATCTTCATGACTGATCCTGCTCAAGAAGAAAGTCACTCCTAGTCTTTTAGTTATCTTAGTCCTACCAATTTATTGTTTAAACCAACAGAATTGAGATTTATTTGGAGGGGGGTGTTTTGGATTTGGGGGCAGTACTGGGGTTTGAACTCAGGGCCTCATGCTTGCTAGATGTACACTCTACCACTTTACACTCCTTTTTTGCATTAGTTTGGGGGATGGGATGGCTTTATACTAAAATCCTCCTACCCATGCCTCCCATGTACTAGAGGTTATAGGCACATGCTACCATGCTTGGCTTATCAATTGAGATGGGAAGAGGAGGGTCTCACTATTTTTTTTTCTTTTTTTGATGAGTGGGCCTCATACCACAGTCTTCCTACTCCCCAACTCCAGAACTAAGATTTCTATTGCTTGCAACTAAAGGCATCTAAATAGATATTGAGTTCTGGGTCCACATGATTAATTATTATCACATTATTCTGCCTGCTTTAAGATGCTCTGGGAGGGATCAGAGCTTGTCAAAGCATGCCTGGGCAAGAAGAGACCTTAGACATGGTTTCTGCCAGTCCTCCCCACGGTCAGGTATGTGCTTCACTGACAAACAAACCAAGTTCCTGAGAGATCCAATGAGCCTCTCAATGTCACAAGCAGAACAATTATTTAATTTTACTCACTTTTGTCTGTGGTATTGGAGGTTGAATTTGGGATCTTATACTTGCTAGGGAAGAAGTCTACCAGTGGAGCTATACCTCTAGCCCTTTACTTATTTATTCATTCATTTGTATTGTTTGTGGGACTTGAACTCGGGGACTAGGTACTGTCCCTGAGAATTTTTGCTCAGGAATAGCACTCTACCACTTTGAGCCACAGTGTCACTTCTGGTTTTTGGATAGTTAATTGGAGATAAGAATCTCACAGACTTTCCTGCCTGTGCTGGCTTTGAACCCTGGTTCTCAGATCTCAGCCTCCTGAGTAGCTAGGTTTATAGGCGTGAGCCCTCGGTGCCTGGCTTTATTTTGTTTTTGAGATAAGGTCTCACTAACTTTGCCCAGGATGGACTCCAACTCAAAATCATTCGGCCTCGCTGGTCACTGGTGGCTTATGTTTGTAATCCTAGCTATTCAGGAGGCTGAGATCTGAGGATTGTTGTTCAAAGCCAGCCAGGGCAGGAAAGTCCGTGAGACTTTTATCTCCAATTAACCACCAGAAAGCCAGAAGTGGAGCCATGGCTCAAAGTGGCAGAGCACTAGCCTTGAGCAACAGAGCTCAGGGACAGTGTCTAGGCCCTGAATTCAAGTCCCACAAAAAAAATTGTTTGGCTCTTGTCTCCAGAGTAGCTGAGATTATAGCTGTAAACCATCATGTCAGACAGTTCTATTCATTATTAATTTTAGGGATATTGGCAAGTGAACCCAAGACCTACTGTGTGTTAGGAAAGTGCTCTATTATTGATTGGGCTACATCCACAGCCTTTTTTTATCCTCCTCTCCTCTTTCCTCCCTTCCCCTTCTCTTCTTCCCTTTCCTCTTTTTTACTTTTCTTCCCTCCTCTCTCCCTCCTCTCCCTTTTTTCCTTCCTCTTTTCACTCCTCCTTTCCTTTTTTCCTCCCTCCCTCCCTTCCTGTTACTATCCACAGATCTCCTGATTGTCAACTTCCACTTGTCTGGTCTAAAGGAAACCCCAAAGAATCCCACTGTCATCATGCTACTTAATGTTGGAAGATGATAAAACAAATCATTTTTTTTTACTATGCACCTCCCTCCTTCGTTTCACTGAAGCAAAAGTTAAAATTAGCCCACTTCTTTTAAAGAAGCAGCTACAGTCTGAGGCAGTCAGTGACTCAATCAGTTTAGACTTAGTCACTGCCTCTGACCTTTTTCCCGTGTTGCTGAAGGCATATGCATGAGACACACGTCAGCCACATGACAGCAGAGCAGCTGCAGTCCTAACGGGTATAAGCAAAGAGTCAGATAAAATACCACAGCAGTTCTGAAGAGAGAGAGGGCTCCCAAGCTTGGGCACAGAGAGTGAGAGAATGTGCCTCAAGCTTGGGCACAGATGGCAAGGGAAAACGAGAAAGGCCAATTGTCAAGTCAAAGAAAGTGTGAGCAAAGGCAGGGTATGAAGGAAGGACATGTGAGAAACAGAGGCCGTTAGTGATGGACCGGGGGAGAGGAGGCTGTGACAAGGCCCACATGGCAGTCCCTGAATAACTAGGCAAAGGTGTCAGAATCTGCTCTAGGTGAGGTGGTGGGTAAGAAAGAAATCAGAAAAACGCATGGAAAGACTCACCCAAAGAAGGCCTAACTCCTTTGCCACCTAGTCTGGGCAAGTTACCTGACCTCTTCTAAGTCTGATTCTCTATGTATATAACGCAAATCTATTCATTCTCAGGGGTTGCTGTGAAGATAAATAGAACTAATACATTTAAAACACCTACTATAGTATATTGGCTCTTGGCAAATAACCAAGAAATAGCTGTTGATTTCAAAAAAGCAAAAACAATAGCATATTTGATAGCAGATTGGATGTAGGATCAATGGAGAGGGAAGAGCTAAGAAGAGCTTCAGAAAAACAAAAGGAAGGAGTGAAATGGGTAGTAAAAAGAAAATGGTTTGTTTTACTATCTTCCAACATTAAGTAGAATGATGACAGTAAGATTCTGTGTGTGTGTGTGTGTGTGTGTGTGTGTGTGTGTGTGTCATGGGGCTTGAACTCTGGGTCTGGGCACTGTCCCTCAGCTCTTCAGCTCAAAGCAAGCGCTCTACCACTTGAGCCACAGCACCACTTCCGGTTTTCTGGTGGTTTATTGGAGGAAAGAGTCTCATGGACTTTCCTGCCTGGGCTGGCTTTGAACTGAGATCCTCAGATCTTAGCCTCCTGAGTAGCTAGGATTATAGGTATGAGCCACCAGTGCCCAGCTACAGTAAGATTCTTTAGGGTTTTCTTTTAGACCAGACAGGTGAAAGTTGACAATCAGAAGAGCAAATTCTAAAAGGATGATCAGATAAATTTGTCTAGAAACAAATAAAAGCTAAAGAAGATAATTGGCCAGAGTAAGGGCTAACATAAAAAGGAGTCTGTGTTCCCTATGCTCACATAAATAATATTTTCCAGGAAAATCAGTCCAGGGATCTCTACCTTCCTTTGTTCATCTCATCTCAACAATTATGGTAGTGCCTGTGCAGAAGCCTCTCCATCCCTTCCAGTGAGATTTCTGAGTCCTCTTGGGAGCTTTCTCAAGTCTTCCCAACCTTCTCTCCTCTCATCTCTGAGCACTGTCACTATCCCTCATCTGGAATCCAGTCTCAGGCTGACACAGATCAAGTCAGTGACCACCACAACTAGTGGTCCATGTGGAATCTAGATTATGGGTGTCTGAATCCATAGCCCGATTGGCTCAGAAACTTTACTTTCCTGCATTCCCAGAGACCAAGTGTGAAGGTGGCTTGGTGGTAGAGTGCTTGCCTTGCATGAATGAGGCCCTGGGTTCGATTCCTCAGCACCACAAAAGCAGGAAAAAAAAAAAAAAAGGAAGTGGGGCTGTGGCTTAAATGGTAGAGAGCTAGCCTTGAGCTGAAGGGCTGAGGGACAGCACCCAAGCCCAGAGTTCAGGCCCCACAACTATTGGTGGTACTAGGGTTTGAACTCAGGACCTCATGCTTGTGGCTTGGTTGTTCAGCTGGTGATCTACCACTTGAACCACATCTCCAGTTCAGCTTTTTCTAGTTATTTTGGAGATGGAGTCTAACAGACTTTTCTAACCATCCTTTAGATCTCAGCCTCTTGAGTTGGTACAATTATAAGTATGCACTACTGACCTCAATTGGAGTGTTTTGTATGTGTACTTCTTGTGGTCAATTAGAGCTAAGAGTCTCCACACACTTTCTTTCCCGGCCTGACTTTGAACTGTGATCCTCAGATCTCAGCCTCCTGAGTAACTAGGATATAGGTGTGAGCCATGGGTACACGGCCCCAACTACTCTTTTTAAAAGCTCTATGTGTGTTTGACCAGCAAGGTTTGACATGCTCTAGTGCAGATGAGGAAAGTTCTTTTCCTTCATTCAGATATGCATGTATGAACAGAGTGTACACTGTTTTTTTGGGGTGTGTGTGTGTGTGTGTGTGTGTGTGTGTGTGTGTGTGTGTGTGTGTGTGTGTGTGTGTATGTGTGTGTGTGTGTGTGTGTTTGCCAGTCCTTGGGCTTGACCTTAGGACCTGGGTACTGTCTTTTGCTCAAGGCTAGCACTCTACCACTTAAGCCACAGTGCCACTTCTGGCTTTTTCTGTTTATGTGGTACTGAGGAATTGAACCCAGGGCTTCATGCATGCTACCACTAAGCCACATTCCCAGCCCATGTACACAGTTTTTATAACTTCAGTTTCATTGGATGTGATCTTCATGGTCACTGAAAGTATGTTCCTGAAAATCACCAAGCTTAATGTAGTGCCCTGCATTGTGTGAGTCTTAAACTTTCACATACTGATACCTTTCTCTTCAGATGTATTCCAGGGGCAAAACTGTATTTTATACTTCTTTATAGCTCAAGCCATCTATCTGTATGCTGTCTATACACAGTGGTGACTTAATAACTGTATCTTCCCTTGGCTTTGATTTAAACTCAATTTCTTTGGATCTTTTTGATCTAAAAATAAAGCTACATAATACAGTGTGGAAAGAAAGGCTTTGTTGACTCTGAATTCTACCTCTCCTACTTACTAGCTTATGAGTGTGTGTGTGTGTGTGTGTGTGTGTGTGTGTGTGTGTGTGTGTGTGTAAGTATGTATGTGTGTGGGTATACTGGGGCCTCTCACTCTTGCCTGTTTTTGTTTGTTTTTACCATGCCTCCATTTCTGACTTTTTGCTGGCTAAAGAGTCTCTTGAATTTGTCTGCCAAGGCTGGCTTCAAACTTCATTCCTCAGATCTCAGCCTCCTGAGTACCTAGAAATTTAGGTATGAGCCACCAGCTCCTGGTTAGCTGTGAGATATTGAGCAAGCTTCTTTAAATTCTAAATCTCTGATATCTTATCTACATGATAGAAATAACTCTCAAGTTTGGTGAAGATGACTAAATAATGTATTTAAAACACACACGTAAAAGGCCCTGTAATCAACAATTGTTGGTTAGTCTTACCTCTAAGACTTTTCTGATCCTGTTTTTTATATGTAAAATAAGGACACTTCATAAGTGAAATTTAAATAAGAAAATCGATACTGCCTAGGGCCTGGTATATTTAAGTGCTCATAAAATGTCCAGAACTAATTAACAGTGCTAAGGCTCTCTTTTAACATACCTAGACAAGACCGCTTTCATTTTTCCTGGGTTAAACTATTGCAAAGTGAATTCTTGCCTTGCAGCCTTTTCTTTCTCTCTTTTTTTTTTTTTTTTTTTTGGGGGGGGGGTCAGGTTGTAGGGCCTGAACTCTGGGCCTGGGTGCTGTTCCTCAGTATTTCAGCTCAAGGCTACCACTCTACCACTTGAGCCACAGCACCACTTCCGACTTTTTTCTTTCTGCTTATGTGGTGCTTAGGAATCGCACCCAGGGCCTCATGCATGCAAGGCAAGCGCTCTACCACTGAGCCACCTTCCCAGCCCGCCTTGCAGCCTTTTCAAGTCTAAGAGGCCCCTTACCCAAGCCAGAGTCCACTGAGCAAGGTCAGGAGAGCCCTTTAAAAGTTATGACCAGGGCTTACAGTGCAGCTGTCCTGCTGCTTGCACTCCAAACTTCCCCCATCCTCCCCACCCCTGAGGTTTCTGGGCTGCATCTAAGGTTAGGGCCACCAGATAAACCTCCCTAAAGAATACAGGCTCATTGGTGTGGCTCAATCTTTGGTCTCTGAAGGAAGTGGGGTAATAATAGCGCCCTGGTCTCAGATGGAGATATCAAAAGCTCAAAGGACAGGTTTGAGCAATAAGGTGGCAGCGCTAGAAAAGAACCCCCATAAGGCTTTTCCAGGACACTACCCCATGTCAGAAGCATAAATCTTGTTGCCTGCAAGCTCTCTCATAGCACAACCTCACCCCAACAGCGATGCCCAACTCCACTGTATCCAGGCAGAAAGTGAGTCCGAGGTCAAGTTCCGGGCACCGGGAAGAAGGAATGAAGACCGGGGCAGCCGGAGCCGGAGGAGCACACGGAGTGTGGAGGACACGGGAGAGGTGAGCTGTGCGGCCGGGGGGGAGGAGGCAGGGGGGGCGCAGTGGGACGAGCGAGGCTTAGGGTGCGGTGGACACGGTCAGGAGAGGAAACAGAGAGGACGAAGATCAAAGAGCAACGTGCGTTACTTCGGAGTTTAATGCAAGAGCCAGTGCCTGGGATTGAGAGTTCAGGAGACCCCAAGCCAGATAGGCCGAATTACGAAAAAAAGTCTCGTTACAGTCCAGTCCGGAATGGAAGCTTCCACCACACTTACCAGTCAAGGTGATGCCCTCAAGAGACAACCTGAGACGTTTCGCCGACCGAGACGAGAACCTTCCGCAAGAACCCACTGACCCCCTGGTAGTTGTAGTTTCCAGGGATCAACCTGGAAAGCGCAAAAGCGCTTCCCGCCTCTCCGCTGGAGACTACAACTTCCAAAGCACACCGCGCGCGCTCGCACCTTTGCCACGCTAGGACTGCAATTCCCATCGGTCTCTGCGACCCGGTCAGGCCGACAGAGCCCGCCCAAAACCCGGGATGCGGTGCGATTTCGCCCCCTGGTGGTCTTGAGGAGCAGCATCCGGTGATAAGGCTGAGCGGAGGGTTCCTGCTAAGTAGTTCCGAGACGTAACCCTCCGCCTCGCGGCGGCTCTCCCAATTCCCGGGCGCGTCTGGAAGCAGCCTGGGCTCCATCCATTCCCCGCTCCGAAAAGGGGGGAAGTGGTTGCATCTGGTTCTGTGTGTCATGCATGGCTTGCTGTGAGAATCGGAGACTGATCGTTTAAAGGCACGTTTCCTACCAACTCGCAACCTGCTGACATTTGTGATTTTCCAGTGTCCTTTCTCAAGAGGCTTAACAGCCCGGGAGGGACCTGGAGGCACCTGAGCTGGGCGGGAGCGGGGGTGGGCGGGATGGGGGCACAGGCCAGCCCTCCACGCACCCCCACTTTACTGCCCCATGTGAATTCTTGGGCACACACCATAAGCCAGGTATTATCTCTAGCCTCAGAGTTCACAGAGTAGCCTCCAGTTCCCACAAAGGAATAATTACCACACCGTTATCTGGGCTCTAGTGCGAGAAACAGTGAAGGTGTCAGCCTTGAAAGGAGGGGAGAGGGGACTGACCCGCCCGGGGAGTAAAGGAGCAGACTCCGAAGCTTCTTGTAGGAAGAGATGTTGAACTTGAGACCCAGGGAAAGGAATGAGGCAGGGTATAGGAAGACAGGGCGTGTGAAGAATGTCCCAGTGCTTCGAACTACAGCACTGATTGATGGCATGGAGAGAGAGATGCCGGGAAGGTATGCAGGATCCTATATGCAGTTTAAAAACGTTCAGCATGGGTATGATGGTTTACACCTGTAATCCCTGCTCTAAGGAGACTGAGGCAGGAGGATCTCATGTTGAAGGCTGGTCTACATAGTGAAACCTTGTCAAAAAAACAAAAAGAACAAAACAATAAAATACTACCAAACAAAACAGTTCTCCACACCTTGCTGGGGAAGGTCCTAGCTTCTTAGCCGGGCATTTAAGATCCTTCTCAGCCACATCTGGCCAGCCTAGTGCTCATGTTATTCCCAGATCAGAACCGCCTCTTCTCTACCCTGTCCCCAGCCACATATACCTCTTTTTGGGGGGGGGAGGGGTCGGTTGTGGGGCTTGAACTCTGGGCTGAGTGCTGTCCCTTGGCTCTTCAGCTCAAGGCGAGTTCTCTACCACTTGAACCACAATGCTACTTCCAGTTTTGTGGTAGTTTATTGGAGATCAGAGTCTCCCGGACTTTCCTGCCCTGACTGGCTTTGAACTGTGATCCTCAGATCTTAGCCTCTTTAGTTGCTAGGCCGACATATACCTCTTGTACCTCCTGACCATTCTCAGGATGCTTCAGTTTCTTGTTGCTCTCTCCAAACTTTAACTTAGGCTGTTCCCTCCACCAGCTTCTCTGGTACCAGGAGTTACTTTGTCCTGTCTGGCAGGCTCTCTAATCAATTCTCTTCTGCCTTTAACATTCCTCTTCAAGCTGTGTGTCATGGCTCACACCTGTAATCCTAGCTACTCACAAGGCTGAGATCAGAGGATTCAGGTTCAAAGCTAGCCCAGGCAGGAAAATCCATGAGACTCTTATCTCTAATAAACCACCAGAAAACCAGAAGTGGTGGGGCTGGAAAGGTGGCTCAGTGGTTGAGTGCTTGCCTTGCATTCCTGAGGCCCTGGGTTCGATTCCTCAGCACCACATAAGAAAAAAGAAAAAAGCCGGAAGTGGTGCTGTGGCTCAAGTGGTAGAGCGCTAGCCTTGAGCAGAAGAGCTGAGGGACAGCGCCCAGGCCCAGAGTTCAAGCCCCATGACCAACAACAACAGAAACAAAAAGGTTCCTCTTCAGTCCTTCCTCACCATGAAGTTTCTTTGACCTCCTCAGTCACAAAGGATCCTGCCTCATCTCGGTTACTTTGACAGTTGTATGTACTTTTTGTTCGAGAGCGTTACTCTCATGATCTGTAACATCTACAAGATTGGAAGTCTGAAATCTCCAATAAAAACCCTGTGAGAGCCAGAGAATGGACGTGACTCAAGTGGTAGAGAGCCTGCCTAGCAAGTGCAAGGCCTTACGTTCAAACAGCAGTCCCACCAAAAGAAGAAAAAAAATGAGTTCCTTAAGGCCAAGAATCCTTTTGGGGGGGTGGCGGGGGGTCCGGTCATGGGGCCTGAACTCTGGGCCTGGGTGCTGTCCCTCAGCATTTCAGCTCAAGGCTAGCGCTCTACCACTTGAGCCACAGCGCCACTTCTGGCTTTTTTTTCTTTTTGCTTATGTGGTGTTGGGGAATCGAACCCAGGGCCTCATGCATGCAAAGCAAGCGCTCTACCACTGAGCCACCTTCCCAGCCAAGGCCAAGAATCCTATATATGCTCTGTCTATATGACCCTCAACCACCAGTATCTATTGTCCTTACTTTAAGTTCTCATCTCTTCTCCTGAAACACTATCCCCACCACTGTCCTTCCAAGATAGAGCCATCAGGAAAGTGATGACAGAACAGCACTGTGGTGATTAAACTTCAGATTTAACTAAAGCTGTGGTTGGTGGCAGTAGCCACAGAACATAAAACACTTCCTGTATACTGCAGAAGAGAGCTCCCTTTGGCTAATTAATCATGGCTGAGCAGCTGGTCCAGAACACTGTGACAAACCAGAATCCTGGTCATGAAAAGGGTGGCTGGGGGTCATGTTTTCCAGTCTTCTACTCCCAGATCATGACATGCCAGGGTCATTTGCTAGCCAGCCTAGTTTATAATATCCCAGATATACTCACTCCTGTAATCTTAGCTATTCAGGAGAGATAAAGATCGAGGTTCAATGCCAACCCAGGAAGAAAAGCCCTGGCAACTCGATCTCCAATTAATCCACAAAAGGCCAAACTGGTAGTATATCTCAATGATAGAGCACCAACCAGGAGAAAAAAGAAAAACCTGAGTGAAGCCAGGCACCAGTGGCTCACACCTGTAATCCTAGCTACTCAAGAGGCTGAGATCTGAGGATTGTGGTTCAAAGCCAGCCTGGGCAGGAAAGTCCCTGTGGAACTCTTATCTCTAATTAATCATTCAAAAACTGGAAGTGGAGCTATGGCTCAAAACGGTGGTGTGCTAGCCTTGCACAAAGGAGCTCAGGGACAGCACTCAGGCCTTGAGTTCAAGCCCCACAACCGACAACAAAAAACAAAACAACGGGGTGTGTAAGGCCCTGGTATTCACACACACACACACACACACACACACACACACCTGAATTTATCCCAGTGTGCTTTGCCACCTTTGTATAAGGGCGACGACCTTCCCTGGGCCTGATCAAACTCTTTCCTGTTGCAAAATAAGACAATTGCATTTCATTATGTTTCCTTCCAGTCCAGTGCTTTTTGGGATGAAGAATCTCAGTGTCTTTAAGTTTGCAGGAAGTGGCTGGTCTTCTAACCTTCTCATCAAATTTCAGCCTCCAAAGGCCCAAAGTTCCCTGCAACTCAGATACCATCCCAATTTTGACCTTGACCTTGTGGCCAAGATACTTTTTTTGAAGTTGGTATTTGGAGAATCAGCTTCGGATTCCTATTCTTCCCCTTACCTTCTAAAGTTGGGGGTCAACACTTTTAAAATCAAAGTATAGGGGCTGGGAAGGTGGTTCAGTGGTAGAGTGCTTGCCTTGCAATCATGAGGCCCTGGGTTTGTTTCTTCAGCACCACATAAGCAGAAAAGGCTGAAAGTGGTTCTGCAGCTCAAGTGGTAGAGTGCTAGCCTTGAGCTAAAGAGCTGAGGGACAGTGCCCAAGTCCATGAGACTCGTATCTCCAGTCAACCACTCAAAAGCCAGAAGTGGTAGAACACTAGCCTTGAATAAAACAAAACAAAACAAAACAAAAAACTAAGAAACAGTGCCCAAGCCCTGAGTTCAAGCTCCATACCAGAACAACAACAACAAAAAACAAAGGAAGATTTCCTTAGGCTCAGGGCATCAGTCATGGTCCCCCGGTCCCCTGGTCCCCTGGCCACTAGACCTGTGCAGTTTAAGGCAGAAGAGCATGGCAGGAGAATGTAGTGAGGCAAAGTGGCTCCCCTCATGATGGACAGGAAGCAGAGGCTGGGCCAGGAAGTTACAGGGACAAGCCAACCCTTTCTAGATATATCCTCAGTAACCTCCTTCCTTCATCTGACTCCCTCGTCCTAATAGCTCATTCCATATGAGCCCATCTGTGGATTCACCCACTGATGAAGTTAGTCACCTTGTGATCCAATCACTTCTCACCAGTGGCTCTAGCTGGGGACCAAACTTTCAACACAGAGCATCCAAGGGATGCCAACCCTCTCAGTCCCTCCTCGCTCCCCTCCCCTGATGAACTCTAAACACCATTGTCCAGCACAAATTTGTGCTGAGTTCTTGGTATTCCTGACCCCACTCAATCAATATAGTGATTTTCAAAAGTGGGTAGCACCACCCCTTATTTGCAAGTAGGAAACTGAAGTACATCGAGGCCAGGTAGCTCACTCAAAGTCTAGTTAGTGACCAGAAAAGGCAGTGTTAAAGCTCTTATCTGTCACCTACCATCACTAGATTCCTGGCTGGAGGGAAAGGACAGGAACTGGGGTGTCTGAGGTGCTTCCACATTCTCCTTCTGTCAGGTCTAACTCTAGGACATCTCCAGGGTTGTCACCAGAGCCTTAGCTGGGAGGAGCAGGGATTGAAGGCCTGGAGGAAGGAGCTGAGGCAGAGGGGGCTTCTTGAATGGACCGGGGAAGCTGTTGAGAGCACCGCCCTTTCTAGTTGCTGGCTTCTTGCGGGCCTTTGGGAGTTCAGCAGCATTCT